CATCACTGCTTCGCCTGAGCATCACATCATCCCCCCCCCCCACACACACACACACACACACACACACTCGCACACACACAAACCTTTCCATGTGACCCCAACCGTGTTCCAGTCTCCCTAATGTTTGCCAGATTGGGAAATAACCTCGATTCTTTTCACTCTCACTGCTGATCTCAGACATCCGCCGAACCTGTTCCAGATCCAACCTCCAAACTGTGGTCTCATAAGTGAGCAGATGTGTGTGTGTGTGTGTGTGTGTGTGTGTGTGTGTGTGTGTGTTTGTGTGTGTTCAAATACTGACATGTTGACTGACTCACGTGTTCACTCAACATTCTTTTACCTTCTGTCAACATCTATCGCTGCGTTTTCCTGCTGCCGGTCAAACTGTTTGTGCTTCTTGTTATTTGCTCATGCCCCCCTCACCCCCATACACACACATCAATTTAGCTATTTGTAGCATCTTCACATTCTGCCTCTGCCTCGCGCTGCTGGCTTCTGTTCGTGGGGATTAATAAAGGGTTATTAACCTTTCTCTTCACCCTCTGTTAAGTGTACAGTGAGTGTTCTGGGACTTACGGCAGGTTCCGCTGCCCATTATGTCATTTTCTAACAAGGGAAGCAACCGGCCATGTCACTGTGATGATGGTGGGCTGCAGATGGGAAAATTGCCGTCGTCTGATTTGGCTATCACCTGCTTCACGTGCGGAGATAATTGAAGTAGACACTCCTACAGCATGACTTAAATCGAGTTTATTTCATGAAAAACTGTGTTAAGAGGTGGAGGTCTTGTGTGTCACCGTTGCTTTTGGCGGCAGTTCTTTCTACTATGCTCGTGGCCGTGAATGGAATGCTACCTAGCAGCAAGTGATGCTCATCCATCACTGGTGAGCTCATCCCTAAATTTCTCCCGGTGAACTTAAATTGGACAGATATTTATTTTCCATTCTGTAAAAGATTGTCTACCATAGAGAGATGTTGGAGAAGAGAGAAAGGTCTTGTGCTGATGAAGCTGACACTTCAGTACATCTCCATCCATCACTTGCTGTTGCCTGGGTAACCTTGGCTTCTGCAGCAAACGTGTAGGTCAAAGTGAATGCGCGTGCATCTGCCGACGTGACCCGGCCGCGTCCGTGTTCATCCGTGAATTCCCATGGCCTCCCAAGCATGCAACCTCAAGGTGTAGGGTTTAAATGGCAGGAAGGGATTAGGCCGCTTCCTGACGTCACTTTTTAAGTGAGCAAATGTCAACTGCTGGGTTACGTGTGAGAGATTAGGGACTCCTTTGAAATGCTGCTCAGTTTAATCGCATAGAATGAATCAAACGGACAAGAAAAAGGGGACTTTTCCAAATTATTTGATTGCCTTCGTCACGACAGAGCGAGATATTCAACAGATGCGGTTGTTTGGTTTCCCTCTTTACCTGCACGTCATGCAGGGAACCTTATCTGTGTACTTCACTTTCTTGTGGACAGTGTGCCACAAGTCAAAAGATCAGAATGTGCTTCCAGAGCCAAACACAAACACTTATCTCTCCTCTCGTAGGGTCAAGAACTTTCAGTTGTCTTTTTTTTATCTAAAATCCTTTGGCTCGAGCCCTTCTGTATTCTGTTTTCAAAATCTGAAGTTACTAGTCGACTGACCGAACAATTGCTTGGATTTGTGATGACGTAGAACTATGAGGCTGACGCGCTCGTCACTTTCCCCGCTGCTGCTCATTGATAGCACAGATGGGAGGATACTGAGGATTCACATCAGAGTAAGGCCAAAATCATCAAAGTGTGCAGACTCTACGCTGTCATTGCATGGATCGAAAGTCTCTGATGCACAGTTGGCCAGTTTTTCAATGCAAAACAGTGAAAGAACCAGCAGTCAAGCCGATGCAGTGATTCTAACAGCAGGCAAAGCACTTTGAGTTCATATTTATTTTAATGAAATGCACCACAACTTATCACTGGGAAGTGTTTCCATCCGTCTATTGTTTTTTTTTTTTTTTATTGAGCGTTAGCGATTTCAAATGTGACAGGCAGAGACGTGGCTAATGTCTCATGAATTCAGCAATTCCCTTTGTTTTTTATTCCCTGCAGTATATTGCTCAAAAGACCCGCAAAGACTTTGCAGATAAAATGCATCTGTTCCAATAAACTGTTTGTGTTCCATTCGCTCTTTAATTTGGGCCGGTTTACTGCTAATTATAACAAATTGACGCTCGTTGTCCTACACAGCCGGCACACGCTGGGTGATTGACTGCCAAATCGTCCATAAAAAGTCGAGTGTAACCTCTTTTGCTGACTCTCTTCTTTCATTGCTTTCTCCTCTCATCCATCCACCTTCTGGCCTTCATGATTTTATTTATTTTTTTACAACATCCATCCTTTATCTCTCACGATCTCACAATATTGTAATTCCTGCCTTCTTCATAAATAATCTTGGCATCACTCCATTCTTCTGTCCCCACCCCTTTGACCTCCATATCGCATGATCTCTCCCCTGATCCACTCTTCATCTTCATTTCAATCGGCATCCTTTTTTCCTGTTCAGCTATCATCGCAGCAATGTGGATCCTGGACACTTCATCCCCTCTCCTCCTGCTCTCCATCCTGTTGCTGGGCTACAGTTGCCGTGCGGCGGACATTCCAGAGGACACGACATCAGAATTCTCTGTCAGACTGTACCATCGGCTGCAGGCGACAGGGGGTCAAGACAATATTGTTTTCTCCCCATTGAGCGTGGCCCTGGCCTTGGGCATGGTGGAGCTCGGAGCCAGGGGGGCATCGCTCGAAGAAATCCGACTGGCTTTAGGATTTGACAACCTGCTGCCAGGTGACAAAAACATTTATCCAACTTGTATGTTGTATGTCGAGAGCCAAAGCTGCTTTAACTCATCCATCCATCCATCACCCAACCACTCTCTATACCGCTTATCCTCACTCGGGTCAAGGGGCCTCACTATAAGCCACTCCAACTATATTTCCACCCCAGTCAGTCAGACATGTTTTTCCTCCTGCATACCCCTTCCTTTGCTTTATGAACGTTCTTGTGCCCTCCAGGTGCAGAGTTCTCTTTGCTCCAGAACCTGACGACAGCGCTATCTGAGGATGACACCCAATACACGGTCCGCTTGGCCAATAGTCTCTTCCTACAGGAGGGCATCGCCTTCAACCCCGAGTTCCTGCATCTGATGCAGAAATTTTTTCGAGCCCATCTGTACACCGTCGACTTCGGCCAGTCAGCGGCTGTCGCAGAACAGATCAACAGCTGGGTGGAGAATCAGACCGAGAGTGAGTAACAGAAGGAGACCGTTAGCCTTGTTTCGCTTTTCTGAGCATCCGCTCAACAATCGACTTCCTCGCAGGTAAGATCCGCAACCTTCTGTCTGCCGAGGACTTCAGCAGCGTGACTCGTCTGACCATGGTTAACGGCATCTACTTCAGAGGCTCCTGGAAAAATCAGTTCAGGCCGGAAAACACTAGAACCTTCTCCTTCAGCAGAGACGATGGTTCAGAAGTCCAGACGCTCATGATGTACCAACAGGGAGACTTCTACTATGGTAAGGACAAAAGCTGATCATCATCTCATGATCGAGAACTGCCTTTATATTTCTCTATCTTTCATCTCTATGTTTGCTCATGTTGTGCTGATCACCACCAGTCAAGCGCATGAGAAATGGTTTTGATGTGTTTTTTTTTTTCTTATTGGTTTGTTATGCAGCTGAACAAGAAAACAAAACAAAACAAAATCACCAATTTTCACAACAGATTGTGGAAGGGGGGGATAACAATTGAATCGAAAAATATACCAGTTTATGAATTGTCAAGATACCAGAATGTTCATTACTAACAAATGAATGGATAAACAATTCAAAAACAAAGCTTTATTTAAAAAAAAAAAAAAAAGAATAAATTGTTACAGGAATTCTTTTGTGTTTCATGTGCCACAAAAATCACAAATGGCACCAGCCATCATTGAAATAAGTTAGTGACTCAAGACAGTCAAAACAATACAAAATTCTTCCCATTGATAAGATGAATGAAAGTGTACTTTCTCTTTTTAAATCATGTTGTTGATATAATATTTACATTTGATCATTTGGGGCTATCTAAAAAGTAAATTTGCCAAGTGTGACATAATGTTCATTTGAAGGCCATATTTGATCATTTGAACATTTTTTTTTTCAGTTTTTCACCAAGATTATAAATTATAATAAAAATTATTATATATACAGTATATATATAGATATAGATATATCTATATCTATATCAATATAGATAGATAGATAGATAGATAGATAGATAGATAGATAGATAGATAGATAGATAGATAGATAGATAGATAGATAGATATCGATAGATAATTTTTTTTATTTTTAATTGGATGCGCTGCCAGAGGAAATGACATCAACCTCTCACTGCATCGCTTCTAAAGTTAGTGCATCCGCTCTATTTTGGTGCACTGAGACACTGGCAAACACCAACGTTTGCAGGCTGCTCACATACTGATGTGTGCGAGCCGGTTTGTTTGTCGGGAGATGGCTGTGAATGTGTGTGAGCTTTGAAGAAGCGAGGGACGGGTCCGTGGATAAAAGCCTGTGTGTTTTCATTTTCAGTTTTTTTGTACGAAGATTGTGTTGTGTTAAAGTTCAAACGCCTGCCCCGGTCTCTGCCGCAACGTTGCCTCATCTCAGCAAGTTAATGGGAGGGTGGGTGTTCAAAGTCAAGCATTAAACTTTATTTGGGTTTTTTACTCTCTTTTATTTCTTTAACCCTCTGCTACTATGAAATCGTATCTTATCAGTAAGCCTCGCCATATAATTTAAAATCTTTTAACATGACAAAGGTAAGTATGATGTTGATGGCTCCTCGCTGTGATCTCACCCATTCACATAATCATACATGGGTCCACCAGTTGACTCTTTTTCTAAAGGAACCTAACTCATCCTGAATGGAAGCAGTTTTCTACAGTTTTTTTTTGAAGAGCAAATTAAATTTGAGTCCTCCAAGTGCAGCATGACTGGTTTTTAAGTAGAATTTAAGCAGCCTCACAAGCTGTAATCAGTGTGCCCAAAGAGGTGTTCATCTGCGCCGGTTCCTCCTCAGAGAACTCGCAAACCGAGTAAAGCGGTGTCATGCTTTTGCTTTTTCTATCTTCTTTGTTTCAGCACCAACTGGAGTGGAGGGCATGCCTCTCCAGCTTTTGAATTTTGCCTTGTTATTCAGGGCTTCTAGCGACCAACCATTTCTATTTAGACTTTGTCGGTTTTTTTGAGTTTTTGAGAATAAACGTTTTGCTGTTTGCATTGTGTCTATGCCTGCATTTTGGGGATCCAAAACATTATATTTCTCTTCTATTTTCAACCCCCCGCACCCAGGTGAATTCAGTGATGGCTCCCAGGAAGCTGGCGGTGTTTACCAGGTCTTAGAGATGCTGTACGAGGGGGACGACATGTCCATGATGATCGTCCTGCCTCGGCAGGAAGTGCCGTTGTCTTCTCTGGAGCCCATCATTAAGGCGCCGCTGCTGGAGGAGTGGGCCAACAATGTTAAACGACAGAAGGTGGAAGTCTATCTACCCCGGTAAGAACTCACTCATCTGTGCAATACGCGAGATCTTTCACACGACTCGATATTGTAACAATTTATCCAGGCTGTACTGATGGGGTTTTTTGTTCTTTGGAGGGGGGGGGGGGGTCCAGGGGGGGGGGGTCCGTTTGTAAATGTTTGAAGTTGTTGTCATGTTATTTGATCAATATTGCTTCAGATGTACATGTCATAGCGGTATGCTGTTGTATCGAATTTTGTGCTGTATTACGGTAATATTTCCCTGGTTGTAATGGTACAGTAGCAACGTGAGAGTGCTGGCATGCTGTTGTATCGAGTTCTTGTGCTGTATTACGGTAATATTTCTACGGTTGTAATGGTACAGTAGCAACGTGAGAGTGCTGGTACTGTATTAAGTTGGGTTAACCCCCATTTAAAGCCCAGCAATCAAATGCACTGCCTGCCACTGGATGAAACAATACTGCACGTATTAGTAGTTGACAGATGTAGAACTACACTGCATCACGCTGAGCGGGTTTCCTTTTTCCTAATGTTGTGTCCCCATTTAAAGCCCAGCAACCAAATGCACTGCCTGCCACTGGATGAAACAATACTTCACGTATTACTGTGCTAGTAGTACTTGACAGATGTAGAACGAAACTGCCTCACGCTGAGCGGGTTTCCTTTTTCCTAATGTTGTGACATCATTCAGGTTCAAAGTGGAGCAGAAAATGGACCTTAAAGAAACTCTGCAGGAACTCGGAATAAAGAGCATCTTCTCCAAGGATGCTGATCTCTCTGCTATGACTGGTAAGGCACTTGAGTTCATGAAACATCAACACATGCTCAATCTAATGAGGTTCAAATTGCGAATTTCTCCATTGTGGGCAAATAAAGGTTTTCTTATCTTATCTTAAATCAGATCAGTGTGGTTACGATAGCTGCAATGGTGAATCTGTTTTCAAAGTTGCTGCATTGTGTTGATATTCTGCGCCGAATTCGTCTCCAGTACTTGCTCAGGTAACCAAGGTAACTGCCGCTGAGTGGGCAGGTTGAAACTGTCACATCCCTTTGTAAAAAAGTGAGAGAAACAAATGTACAGTCATCAAGAAATAATCACATGTAACTGCAACGGCAGCTTCTTCCAAGGAATTCCTACTGATATGAACGTGCATTATGTTCTTCCTGCAGTCAGCTCAGAATGTTTTCTTTTTTTGGGGGTGGGGGGGTGGTCCCTGCAGCGCCACTCTCCTGCAGCACACAATGTCTTTGATGGATGTGCTCTATGACTACAAGTAACGATTTTTGATTTGTCTTTGTGCAGTTGTTTCAGGTGGGAAGGAGCTTTATATTGGCAGGGCAGTGCAGAAAGCCTACCTGGAGGTGACTGAGGAGGGAGCAGAGGGAGCTGTCGGATCAGGTAGACTATCTTTGCAGTTTAGCCCGCACTGGTACTATTAAGAATTGTAAATACTGATGGGGTTTGCAGAAGTGGGCCATGTTTAAAAAAAACGTTGCCGCTACATCATTCCTCATCCGTCAGCGGCCTAGTCACCTGTCCGTCATCGTCAGTCTCAGTTTTTTTTTCCAAGCTGAACCAAATTGTAATTGTCCGTCATGTTATTTTAACCACGCTTCAATCATCGCTTTCTGTAAATGTCAACGGTCCGTCTAATGTCAGTCCATCATAATCCAACAGATGCAAAGTCTGAGATTAAAATGGTAAATGGAGTGCACTCTCTGTGCATATATATATATATATATATATATGCACACACAGGCTATATATATATATATATATAGAGTGAGAGAGAGAGAGAGAAAGAGAGAGAGAGAGATTAATTTATTTATATTTAATAACACTTGGTGGCGAGTTCTCGCGCAATTCATTTCAAAATAACTTTTGCCAGTCATGACAAAATAACTGCGTAAAAGTGAAGCATAAATGGTCGTGCTTTGTTCGGGGCCCAGGACAAAGTGAAAATGTGATATATGGACACGTTTTTAAGTGTAGCAAAAAAAAAAAAAAAGGATATACTGTATGCTTGAAATAAGTTGAAGGGAAATAAATGTGGGTAGCTTGGAAAAAAAAAATCCTCAAACCTGAAGAGATAACGCAACTCGCCACAAAGACATTGTGGGAGACTAACAAAAAGTTTGGTTGTGGTTGCTCATCACGTAATATGACATGATAATGTTCAATATTCTCTGTTGATGAAAACATATGAAAGGGTAAAATTATACTACATGAATAAAATTAGATTTGGACATGGACCATGTTGAACTGTAAACATTGTCCTCCCCCTCCCTATCTGGTGGCAAATGTTTTGCTTCAGGGTCTTGTATTTCTCCATCTCACAGGAATGATCGCCCAAACCAGGACTTTGGTGCTGTACCCACAAGTTATGGCCGATCACCCATTCTTCTTCATCATCAGAAATCGGAGAACAGGTTTGTGAGTGCATGCGTGCCTGTGTGTGTGTTTGTAACTTGACACTTCATATTGCTTTGTGTAAAAACAGTTAACCATCATGAGTTTGTGTGTGTGTGTGTGTGTGTGTGTGTGTGTGTGTGTGTGTGTGTGTGTGTGTGTCCCTTCAGGGTCTATCCTCTTCATGGGCAGGGTCCTGACCCCTGAAGTCATCGAGCCTAACGACCATGACTTTGACTCGATGTAACTCCTGGCATGATGTCACTCATTCTCATCCAATCAAATTAATCACACCTCTTCTATCGTCACCTGTATTTTATAAAGATATCAAGTATTGATGATGCGATACTATATCTTGAAAAAAAGTGTTTTTTGATATAGAAAGGTCTGTGGATGTAAACATACCGAGGGTTGAGTAACGGAGAGCAGTCAAATGTGAGTACAGGTTATATTCATGCAGAATCATGTTCTAGTTAATCTGCTCTATCCACACACACGTGCACACAAAATCCACAAGAACATTTGATTCTCTTCCTTTTGAAACAAAAACTATCTATTTGTACCCATGTGTTTCCCTTAAAAGTATTAAACAGTGATCTCTATATGCTCAGTATTTATAGTGGCGAAAACATGCAATCGTCAGTCTTGCTCATCAACATTCTTGAGACTACAGTATCATCTTTTTTTTTCTTTTTTTTTTTTTTTACACAGCAGGCACATGATCAAACTACTGAACAACTATATGCCTTACCACATGCGAGTGGTTGATCAAGCCTTGCTTGGCATCTCACAGGTGAGCTGAGGAGACTGCAGAGTTGCCATAGAGACCAACTGAGGCTTGCTGGCACACTGAAAAAAAGGTCCACTGCACCAATTTTTGGCTGTATATATTTAAAGAGACAATAACACCAGCTGTATACACTCTTATAATCAATAAAGATCAATGATATTATGCTTAAGCATGTATACTGTATTATGTGTGATGCGAGAGGCGGACACATTTTTTTTCATCCGTTTTGCGTGTTATTTTCATTGCTCACGTACAAATATAACATTAGTAATATAGTGGAAATACACACCAAAAAGTAATACTCGGATGGGATATTGATTTTATGTTATCTTGCTGACCATTCATTGATCCATTTTCTATAGATCTTGTCAGTCATTCGGGTCATGGGTGAGCTGGACCTTATCCCAGCTGATTTTGACCAATTTGGTGGACTCCCGTTGCCACAAAAACAAAATGGCATTGAGTTTCTCACCCGTTTCACACTCTTACACGATGCCAGCTTTCAAATGAGACACATTTCGAAACATTCGAGTGGCAAAAATTGGAATAAATTTGAAACTGTAACGTGGACGCGAATCCAAAGCAAATTAATCCTCCGGTAACATGAGACATGAGGCTGCAGCAGACCATTATATAACAAAGAAGGCAATTCAGGGCATGAAAATAAATAAATAAATGGAACATGTCTTAAGTCTATTATGTTCCTGTCATATCTCCTCAGTTAAGGTGATCAAAGTGTCAAATTTGGTTATTTTCCACCTTGACTATGAATGTTTTCCACCTTGCTCGCTGAACACGGTTGCTAGGCAACACAGGAGCAACAGTCCAGTCGCAGTAGGAGCGTCTCACCTGACTGAGGCAGCTCAGGGTCAGGAGGAGTTACTCGCAGAGAACACCAACACAGGATCTCGCCTCCATGGGTCACGGCCGCATCTTCGCACATCCCGATGATACGACTCACAATGTGTTGTTAAAGGCTGGCAGAGTTCTCCAGTGCACGATTGGGACATGTCAGAGAGGTGAGCTCACACCACTATTGTTTGATGCCAACCATCGGTTTAAGCGTAGCTTGAAGGGACTCTTTCCATGTTTTTAATTATTTTCTCTAAGTCAGCACAAATGAGAAGTCATTACCGGTATGCTATATTTTTTCTTTAAGAGGGACCAGGGACTCTTTAAATAGCCTACACATTAATTGTATGTAATGTAGACATTCTAAATCACGTCAGTGCCAGTTTTATATTAAAATAAAAATTACTTTAGTTATGTTATTTGTCCCCATTACCGGTATGCTATATTTTGGCAACAAGTTTAAAAGGGACCAGGGACTCTTTAAATAGTAATGTAGACATTCTAAATCACGTCAGTGCCAGTTTTATATTAAAATAAAAATTACTTTAGTTATGTTATTTGTCCATGGTTGAAGATCGAGTTTACCTCACCCAGCATTAGACAACGGGCAAACTCACTTATTGGCTACACACACACACACACACACACACACACACACACACACTATTATGAACCAGCGGCAGACCTGCTCAGGTGTCCCAGGCTGTAACTCAACCACTCGGCAGGTGGTCAGGTTCTTACCGCACACCGGAGCTGCCGTTACAAACAATTTTCTGCTCTTCTCGTTCTCCTTTCAGTTCTTCAGGCGTGAACACTCTCAGTGAAAGCCTCCCCAAATCCTACTTGTCCCACTACTCCGAGCTCGGTGTGGCACACTTGCCTGCCACCGTGCACCAGAGTCCTGATTCTGGACTTGGATCGACACCTGTAAGTGGCTGGCACATATGCACAAAACCCCCCCCCCCCCCACCCCCCATTTTCTACTACGTACAGGTACTCCCCCTATTCCACCAGAATGTCCCATCTGAAATGTACATTTTGTCCAAAAATGGAAACGAAACTTCTGGTGATAGACTTGTAATGCTTGGCACTTTTTCCATCCCTTTTACTCTGTTCATTATTTGCGTTATTATCACGATTTGGTCTTTGTGTTAACATTCGTTTGTTTGCATATTACTGTACGTGCAGTTTTAAGTGGAACCTTAAACTTAAACCAGTTAGAAGAAATGTAGTTTGATGAGGAATGACAATTCCTGATTTGAGGACTGTAGGGTTGACTCATTTCACGCCTCAGCCCAGCGCATGCTTTTCTCCTTTGCACACAGCTTCCATCCAACCGCTTTCGGTTTGCCTCGTGGCATCACCTGCCGCAGTGTGACCTCACCGGAGATCAGCTGACCTGCCCCAGGGTCCGAGAAGGTATGCGTCAGTATGACATCCTGTCACTGTGGTTCTACTTTGCTGTGGTGTACTGTATGTCTACATTGAGTCATACTTAGATCATTATTTATATTTTAAAGGTGTATCTAAAAAAGTCGATTTTTCATCGCGTACCATTAACTTGAATGATGGCTAAGAAAATGTTTTATTTATATCTTTTGTCATTTGGTGCAATTCGATTCAATCTAACCTCTTGCCCAAATCAGCGTTGATGGGCTGGCATTGGACAAGTGCTCTAACAGTCACTGCTTTTTGAATCAGATTGTCAGAGAATATAAAAAGATGCTTTCTGTCACCCAAAGGGCCATCCGATGAGGAGCTCTTTCAAAGACAGGCGGATTCAGCGTGTGTGGAGAGATGGCGGCGCAAGAAGAGAGAGAAGGAGGGGCAGAGTTGGGAAGAGAGACGACAGGAGAATTGGGAAAACTGTCTGGTGAGTCATGACACTTTTGTGTTATGCTTGACAGAACTAAATGTGACAGGTAGAGAGACCAGCTATACCCTCCTCGGCTCCCCAGACACTTGAAGTGGATTGCGTGCCCTCTACTAGCCTGAAGCCTCCTGACTAGGCCCCACTTTTCGTAGATATAGGTCATTTTCCATGGGTTTTCCTCATCCTTTCACTTGAGGGTACTCGTTGTCTTCTAGAATATGGTATACTCCATTTAGGTCACATAAAGATACGTTTTTTTTTTCCCTTCCAACTTGCTGCCTCCTCCCCAAAGGAGCTGAATCTCTCCTACCAGGATTTGGGCGACGCCTTCCAAGAAGAAAACTTCCTCCGCATTCTCCGCAGGTTGATCCGCGTGGAGCAACTGCAGCTGGTCAACAACTCTCTTAGCAACCTGAGTTCTGTCCGCCTGCCAAGGTAAAGAGATGCATCGCCTCCTTTCCTCAGTAACAGACACACGTATAAAGCAAAATAATAAAATGTAATTAAAAAAAAAAAAAAAAACTAAATACCACTTCTGCTATTTTCAGGTGCAGAGTATTAAATCTGCACCGCAACCATCTGGTGTCTTTGCACCAGTTGCCAAAACTTCCAGCTGTAGAGCAGCTTTGCTTGTCCGAGAATGCCATTAGCTCCCTGGGCGGATTGGACAGATTGAGGAACAGTCCTCTGCGATCCCTAAACATGACTCTCAACCCAGTGACCTTTTCTCAGGACTACCGTGCACGGTGAGTAGATCAACAAAACATAGATTTTGAATCTGTTATCGTGTGACCTCAAAGAGTAGCCTGGGGGATATATACTTTTCGATCTATTTTCTATCGCTGTCTTCGTTAGGGTCATGGGCAAGCAAATGTAGGGACAGCCGATGATACACATTTATGTGTCAAAAGATGTAGCAATGGTCAGTGTAATAAATGCCAAAATTGGTCCTTTTTGTTTAATTTCTGCAACAAGTGTGGGACCAACTAAATATTCTTTAATTTCCACTTCCTGGAGTTGTATGTCGTCCCAATACCTTTTTCAGTGGTGGTCGTACAGTAAAGGCTGCATCCGCCAATCACGGCCTCTTCTCCGACTCCTCTGTTGTCTGTCTTCACGCAGTGTGTTCTCCTGCTTGCCAAATCTTGAGATCCTCGATGGAGTCCCGATGCTGTCGGAAGACCATCTCCACACTGGACTCCACTTCCCACCAATCACAAGGATGTGCAACATTTTGTGACGTTTTCTATAGGAATGGATATGTGCTATCCAGACTCACATCTACTCAGAGGAGAAAACACCCCAATCTTTTTTTACATTAAATGTGCCACAACTCTTGCCAAAACCACCATATCTAAAATATACGCTTTGCAGGTTTAAGCGTTTATGGTCGCGTCTAGTTTAAATTGTGTATAACTGACAATAACGGAATGCAGTGGAAGGAAACATGTTGACAAGATCTTCAGGAGATAATAAGGCTAATCATGACTACATTACATATCATTGGCTGAACCAAACGTGCCTGTTTCCATGCCTGTTTTTGCATAGATAATATATATGTTTTTAGACGGTGACTGGAATAAACCAATAAAAATGTGACTTGATGGGGATGATAATTGTCATTTGGAATGATTTCATCATTCTGTCAGTTTTCCACTGCTTATCCCGCTGAGGGTCACGCTTGATATATCATAGGCAGGCAATTGATCATTTATTTAAAAGAAACTTAGCATCCATAATAGTAAAATTTTGTTGAAAATAACACTAATAACAACATATCAATTACGCGGGCAAACCACATTACAACAGAAATCCTCTTTATTACACACAAAACATTCAGTTGACAAAACATGATTCATTGACATCCAATGTTTACTTCAAATACAGGTGAAAAATATACAAACAGACGGCACGTATTTTACTGTAAAATGACTTAAAAATTGAAAAAGATTTGTGGACGCACAACTTGAAATAGCTGACTCATGAACGGTTGTTGTAAGGCAGAATGTGTTAGTTCACATGCTAACGTTGAGCTCTCTTGTGCATTTGGAGATGCAAAAAGACTTAGGGGAGGCATAGGAAAGAAAAGGCACACGTCGGTGTGACAAACTTAGCTTTAAATTGCACCTTGCCTGATTGTCAAAGGCGTCACAATCAATCAACAATAAATAAAACAACAAGCGATTGATTGGAATGCCAGATTCATATCTTAGTGATGCCTTTCTTTCTACAAAGAATACTAATTTATCCTTTTTTTTTCCTTTACAGCCATCTTGATGAAAGTACATTCTTTGCATGTGTGCATTGAAATCGGAGAACGCGCGGATGTATTAAAACAACAACATCGTACAGCATAGAGTATAAAATCATCTCCACCCATTTCACTTTGTCCAATTGCACAGTGAAAGCGGATCAGTTCCATCGCAAGCTTTCGCCATCGTTGTCTCCAGACTTTCTATCTCAACGGTCCTTCCTGAAGTCTGGACTGGATGGCTACTAGCTTCTTTTTTGGGAATAAGGAAGAAGAACCTCACAGTGTTTATTTCGGATTTACATCTCCGCCCGTCCAACGTTTCCCTTCTCTCGACCGGGCCCCGCTTCCTCGCCTTCCTCTTCCTCGTAATTCTCCTCCTCAGTGTCTTTTCTGTGAGCTTCCTCCTTGTGTGGTCCCTGCGCACAAGTGCACTTCACTGTCACGAATGATTGAACAAGCAAACAACATTTCAAGACCATTTTTAGCAGGAAACCCAGCGTCGGACAATGTCCCCAGTGCACAATCTACATTTGTAACAGACTGCTACACTCTACTTACCTTCCACAAAATTAGGGGCACCATCAGGATTGGATGTGAAATAAAAAATGTTACCATGACAATAAGGTGAGACCAGAGCTAAAACTCTTCCCTCCTAAAGTGGCCAAGAATGTTTCATGAATTAAATGTACAGGACCAGTCGCAGGAGCAAGACACTGAATTTAAATGATTTACTGTATTCAAATGTACATGACACGCTGGACGTCGTCACTTACTGAGGAGCACAACTCTGCTATTTTTTTTCCCCATATCCTTTTCTACTCTACTCTTTGGTTGTGTTTGCTTTTGCAATTTTTTTTCTTTTCTATATAAATTCTATATAAAAATACAACAAAATGATATGGTGAGTGTTTTCTTCTTTGAATTTCAAAAATGATATAGCAAGTAACCCACCTGTTCTATATTCTCCTCATTGTACGTCTCCTCTCCATCCTCCTCCACTTGGTCCTCCCCCTCCTTCTTCTCCCCACCGGCAATGTTCTCCTGTGCCTTCACAGTCAAGAGAGGCACAAAAAAAAAAAACCCTGAACATTCTATTCAAATAAAGACCGAATTCCTACAAAAAAATGGCTATTATGCCAATCTCTCATAACCATAACTAACAAAATAGTGTTGTCACACACCTCCTCCTCAGCGTCCTCCTGGTACTGGTCATCTATATCGTCTTCCTGCTGATCGGGATTTCCAGCAATCTGGAGACACACACACACACACACACACACGCACACACGCACACACAAGCGAACATGAGATCATAGAGCCACTTGGATCAATGTCATCCGCATCGTGTTGCCCTTGTAAACAATACGATCTACATGTCAATCCCCTCTGGATAGATTCCGGTTCTTCTTCTCAACGCGTCCACTCACCACCAGCTCATCCTCGATAGCGGGGTGCTCGGGGCCATGGTGCGAGTCTACGTGCTGGGCATGTGCTGCCGGCTCCTCCTCTTCCTCTTCCTCCTCCGCCGCCTCATCCTCCGGAACACGGTGATGTGACTGGTCTTCCTCCGCTTCTTCAAACTCGTCCTCTCCTTGGTTGTTGGGATCATCCTCAGGGTCCAGCTCACCGCCGCCGATGGCACCCTGACGTAGAGGGGGGAAAAAAAAAAAATTGATATTTCTGACCTGTACCTAAGAAAAATGCTCTCACTCTGATGAAGGGAATTGCTTTGGAAAACAGTTCCAACTTTTCTACTCACAATCTTGGGACACAAACACCAAACTGGTGCTAACTTAAAGAGCATAGTGGCTAAACATGGACATAGAGACATTTTATTTTGAAAATAACTTTGAAGTCTTCAGAGCAGTTTGAAACACGGCATTTCAACATACTGTATGGACTCCATAATTGTTTTACTTTTGTTGGAGGAATTGATTTTTTCCCCATGTTTTCTGTTTGAGTTTAGATGGAAACTTTCCGCACATTCCAGAAAGTGGCCTGACAAACAAACACAAATTCAACACAGGCATGAGTAGTTATTGGTGGTCTGATCGTCTACTGTAAATGTGGCTTATGGTGAAGATTTAAGTGACGAGCGAGCAGAAACAAGGACAAACAGGTCACCTGCTGATGTTTTGGCACCTTCAAGTCATCGTTGAACAAGAGAGAATGTTTCTCTGGGGGAGGAAAAAAAAGAATGACGTAAATGAGCTCATCTGACAAGCTCTCAAGACACAAAGCTGGGCGGCAAGAATGCCAGGTTTTACCTTCTTTACTGTCAGTGTGATGCGGTTCTTCCCGATGGTCAAGATTATGGTCCATGTTTTCATATTCAGCCTTCATCCTGAGAACAAAGAGGCGAGAGGCCGCTCATTTCACAACTCCCAAAATGTCTTCGGAATGGCGCATTTCTAATTAAAAACTGTGAGTTTGCTGGAAAAAAAAACATGCTCGTCGGCGTGAACTTATTTGGAATCTGTCTGTACTTTCACTCATTTGCAGTGTGCTCATTTCATCGGACCTTTGGTGGGCCTCTCTGAGCAGCTTCTCCCGTCGGTCTGTTTCCTGATGCTGCTGCTCTTCCCTCTCCTGCTCTTCCTTCAGCTTGGCCTCCCTCTCCCTCAGCGCCCTTTCTCTCTGGGTCTGCAGGGAGTCCTGTCGCATCTGGATCAACCGCCGCTTTTCGGCCTTTTGAGCCTCCAGGCGCTGCTGCTCCTGCTGCTGCTCGTAAGCGGATTTGGCGCCCTCCAACTCACTGTTCGCCTCTTGCCGGGGCTGGACAACAAATCAATATTTATTTTAATCTAATAATTTTGTATGAGATACAAGTACGGAATTCCTCCTCCTGACATGTGGCTGATGTATCTGGCTGTCCAAGGCATTCTCATCCGGCTGCTCCAGTTCTTGCTGGCCTTCCACTTCCTCTTTTTCCTCCTCCTGTTGTTGATCCGGGTCATCCTCCTCCAGCTTTTGAGGCTGTCCCGCTTGGGCCATCTCCTCCTCAGCCAGCTCCCTCTTCCTCTCTGCGTCTCCATCCTCCTCTTTCTCTGACAACGTGTGCTCCGACATGGCGGGGTGAGACTGGACCTCCGACTGAGAATGGGTCTCCTTGTCTTGCTGGTGCAGCTGAGACAAAATGTTGATGTGAACACAGAATTTCTTTTGGGTTAGTAAAGAGAAAGGGGAAAAAAACCCCGATCGCATTACCCTGGACGCAGTATCACGGTCGTCCCCTTTCACTACAGGCACCTCATTTGGCTGCCCCAGGACAAAGGTCGTCTGGGATTTGGGATCTGGTTGCTGCAGCACGGAGTTTTGCTCGGGCTGTCTCAAGTTCGGTGCCTTGTTCAGGGTCTCCTTCAGCTCTTTGTATTCATTGACTTGTACCTACAATACCAAGCACAAGACCACAAGATGTTTTACCTCTCACTTTATCCATTAAAGCCACAATGGAAAGGAATGAAAATGCAAGATTAAAGTTCCAAGAATAATGTCATATTATCATGAGAAATATTTGGGGCTCAACCAAGTGTTCTATCCTTACTGTGCTGTTTTTATGATGGAAGAACTCCATGAAACTGCTTGCCTACCTGAGCTGCCGCGAGCGCATTCTTGTGGTCTTCGAGTGACAGCGCCATCTGATCGTGCGCTGTCTTTAGGTCTTGATGCCTCACCTGAACACACGAGCGCAACACAATCGATGCCGTGGCCACATGACAGGCTCGCCACAAAAGACCATATGAATACAGACGAAACACGAGTGAGAAGGTTGTGCATTTACAAAACTCAAAGGTAATATTTACTTCGCCCAAAAAGCCTATTTTCACCTAAAATGTTGAATTAAACAGCACAAATTTGATCCATTTTCTATCCATTTCTTTGGAGGTCCAGTGCCTAAAATCTATTACACAGCGCAGCATTCACTAAAAACACCATATACCGTACTGTTTTTAACAACTGATTAAAAAGGAAGCATTAAGTGATGTACGGAGATCAAAAGTTTCACCTGAGCATCCTGAAGTTGCATGTGAATGTCATGGTGGGCTTTCCTCAGCTGCTTATTTTCCTCTCTGAGGTTAAAAACATTGTCTGCGGCGAGAAAAAGGAGCCTTGAACAAGGAACATGAATCCTAAATTGCATTGCCGACATGACAATAATATCTTGATAATGATATATTGGGGGGTGGCGGGCTGGTAGACTGGTTAGCACGTCGGCCTCATAGTGCAGAGGTGCAGGGTTCTATTCCGGCTCCGGCCTTCCTGTGTGGGTTTTCTCCGGGTACTGCCGTTTCCTCCCACCCTCCAGAAACATCCATGGCAAGCAAATGGCACACTCCAAATTGTCCCTCGGTGTGTGTGTGTGTGTGTGTGTGTGTGTAAATGGCACACTGCAAATTGTCCCTTGGTGTGTGTGTGTGTAAGCACGAATGGTTGTTTCGTCTATGTGTTCCCTAGCCACCATTAACGGTGCTGCCTGTGTAAAACTAACCAGATAGGCTCTGATGACATGTAGTTTCTGATTATGTCAGAAGGTGGAGACAAAGTAGAGACATTGAAAGCGCGACTTGCAGCTGCGGCTCAACGACATCATGCTCAACAACCACCAATTGGGATTCTCCTTCGGAGAGCTACGGAGCCTCCCACACGCGAGTCTAGCTCCAGCGCTACTGAGGATCATCCTCAGGCGCCTCGAGTGACTCAACAACAACATCAACAACAACATCATGTGGAAAAAGAGACCATGTCCAATTCATATTCTCGACAACGATTTACTTGAGCGAAATCAGCACCTTTAAGCTGGGCCACCTCCCTTTCTTTGACTTGCTGCAGTTTGTCGTAGCGCTCTTTGTGCTCATCCAGCAGTCGATTGTGATCATTTCCCTGGATGTGATGCTGCTCTTGCAGGTCATTGTACTGCTTCTTCAAGTCCTCGTGCTGGTTCTGAGGGACAAGCGCAAACGTGTGGTCATTACTTCGTTTTCCATGAGGAACGTCGGAGAGCCTACGGTGGGACAAAGGGAATCCGAACCTTGAGCATCTGATGTTGCACTTGCAGCGAGCTGAGTTTGCTGGTGGAGTCTTGCTGTGTGAGCACACAAACAACACAAATCACACGTCTCTTAAATGTTCAGCCTTACTGGCGGCCACACCGCACACACTGAGCAATGGGAGGCAGAGGAACAAAAAATAAAAAAACGGAATATTTGAATCAGAATTTCAATCATAATAATCATTAGAATAATTTCACTTCCTCATAACAATTAAGGATTTAGATGCTGAACGGGAACTAAAGTACCTTCTCCTTATTTAGTGACTGCTGCGATTCCAGTTTGTACACCAGGTAATCTGGAACAGAAAAAAAAGGACCATCAAACGTGTTTAAAAATTGAACACCGCGAAATTTAACGCTTCCACAAGCTGAACATCAATATTGGCAATTGCACATCAAGTGTCGGTGCGAGACAGTGTTCCCGCTAGTTGTCTCACCTTCTTTGGCCTTTTTGTGCTCTAACCTCTCCTTCTGAAGAGACTTCTCCAGTCTTGAGCGATGCTCATACACCACTAGAAAGGTGAAGACAGCAAGAGGAGGGAAACGTGATAAGATGACAAAGCAAACGAGTTCGATTGAGACCTTTTAAGTTGACGTTTTTGAGAGATCATTTTATTGGTCATTTCGCTGTGACAAATTAATTCCTCCAGAAATTGGCCAATTTCCGAGCTTGGTATGTAATGGTTGTGTCTCCGTTTATTCCCCGGCTGGAGTGGTCGCTTTTCCCCCACTGCCTTCAAATTCAAAAGGCAAGTTCCAACCGACAGAGATGAGACTGTCCTCCACAATTCGAAGAAGTCAAACACGCATGCATGTTTTCAAGTGAGAAGTATAGAATTGCACGGAAACATTGGCGAGGTGAAGGATTGGGCATGAAAAGTTTCAATTTTGTACTGCGTGACAAAACACTTAGGCCATGTAGTTCACTCACAACAGATAAACAGGTTCGTAGTCAAATAGAATACGAGTTAGACGACAGAGAGATGCCGCAAGTCGCCATGGAACCAACCTTGACGTGCGTTTATTTGACTTTTTAGGCTTTAGTTGGGTTAACCCCTTTTTTTAAAACGTTATTATCATCCCCGGCACTTGATTTTCCGCACTATTGCATTTTCCCCAAGTTCTTTTTTGATATTCAAACAATGCTGCAAATTTGCCATAACACCATGCTGTGGCCTTAACATTGTTCAGCTATCACAGATTTTGATACTGTTGTATCCCAAGTAGTATGCACCAGTATAAAGTGTCTTCTCAAACGTGCATGTGCACACAGTCCTTATCTTTGCTGTGATAGAATCAGCGACCACCGTCTTGGTTTCAGACCAATTTCCAATACTGTCTGATGAAAGTACATTAGCCGAGTGTGAAACGAGGCAGCACTCTGTGGAGATGACCTTTATGGGTTTGCTGGTTTAGATCGGGGGATGAGTGGATCTGCTGAGTGGGCTGGTGGTTTACAGCCCAAATACTGTCAATCAAAGCGGGAAAAGGTCAGCACACGGTTTAAACAGAAGATGCCGGGCGTGCGTGTTTGTGTCTGTCGGTTTTAAAACGTTTTCGATACATTCTCTCACTTACAAACTTAAAATTTAGGAGAGGAAACAATCAACGGTCATCGATGGGCATCAAGTTACGCAATCAGTCTGAATGCTGAATGACCAACTCCGTGTGAAGCAATGTGAATACAAACGCGTGACACAAGACCTGGGCCTGTTCCAGTTTAAGTGACATCATGCAATGCTATGGTCTCGGAAAGGAAACAAGAAAAACATGTTAGGACAATGAAATCCACCTCCCTCCTCATCACTTCAAAACGCATCTTTGTAAAACGACTTTGTCATCACGCCACCCTTTGAAAATTACTTGCCCATATTTACTTTACAGCTATTCAGCATTCCGTAATGGAACAAAAGTGGGTCGATACCAGTGAACGAGCTGCGCCCTTAGCTCCAGCTGCCCCATTTACACACCATCAATGAAATGACGCTACCGTCGGAGTTGGCCTAATGGGCGCAGCGTTCTATTAGGGCCTTCCTGACTCGGAGAACCTGTGGCACAGTGCCAGGCCATAAAGAGTCTGTAAAATGGGCTTTTACCTTCAAATAGAAGCTCAAAACAATGCTGGCCTTTCAGAAACAAAAAAAAAAAAAAGGAAAAAGAAACATACCCGTTTAATTTTAATTGCAGTACATAGTAAGGGAAACATTTTTGGTTGTGTGGCTGAGGTGAAGCGTTTGAAGAAATGCAATTATCGTTGGTAAATAATTACACTCAAACAAAAGTGATTGTAATTGTGTTCCTCTGTTTCCGCTTGAGTAAAGTGGAGCAATTAAGAAAGTGGTCAAGCTCTTGAATGACGACTGTCGTCTTCTTCTCAACCAGCAGGCAGTTTTGCCATCTTCTCTGTACAACTAACGAAGCTTTGACGGGTATATCTTGCAGAGCCAACCCCATACCCAAGTTTTTTTTAAAAAAAATCATTTTCATTTCAGGCCAACGCTGGCTTTTATTGTTTACAAACATGATGAAAAGGTCTACTCATAGAGGATCAAGCCAGCCTGTATGACTTCATCCGGTTTAAAAGACCCTTGAGGGTTTAAAAACAAAGTGCGTTGACGCTTTCCAACATACGTCTTAGCTTTTAAGGGGACATACTGTATTTTGGAAAACTGATTTTTTTTTTAAGTTTGTACACAATGAGTCAGCTCTCTTGCTTAATGACATTGTGAATAAAATAGTGGTTGCCCCAGGGATGATTTATGTTTGGTGTGGCGTCAATGCCAAAAGATGCTTTCATTGGGCCTCAATCACTACCAAATGTGCAGGAATTATTGCGCACAAACATTGTCATACTCCATAAAAGTAATGTTCATCAGATTGCCGTGTTTCGAACAGTGGGGGCCGTAGAACATATTATTATAAAGAGCATTTCTGATTTGAATTCCCCTTTAAGACATTAGTAAATTCAATACTAAATGCCCAATTTAATTTATTATTCTTCAAATCATTATTGATTTTAGAAACGACTGCAGTTTCAATACGTTGTGCATCTTGGTTAGCAAACGTGTGCTCAACTTCTTTTGAAAGGTTGATCCCTTGTTCTTTATGCATCCGAATAGTCCGAGGATGTTCTAAATTTGTTTGCGGAATAACCCACGAATTCAAGTTCAAAGATATTGATGAATCACAAACGCGTGCGTCAAACGTACGTATGCATGCGAGGCACACTCATTTGTGCGTAGGCGCAGTTAGCGAATGAGGCCCATTGCCTTTCAAAGATCCTCACTTCTTTTCCACACTGAGAAGCGGGACTCACCATTGACCCAGGAGAGGGAGGGGGTGAGCACGGGGTTCACTTCTATGAGACGGGGCCAGCCCCTAAAATGTGTCGATTGCAGCAAGACAAGAAATGCGTTGCATAAAGTGTGCTGGACTGTAATTCTTGATCCATGAAGTCTATTAACCACAGAAACCCAGGAACTGTTTTAAATTGTGAAAAATTACAAAATATTATCTCCTTTAGGCCACGTCGCTCCTTCTGCTTTAAGGCAAACAGTAGCAGATGTTTCGGCTCAGCTTGCGACTTCAACATATAGCACTGTGTAGTATGAACGACACTCACACTCAAGTGTGTGTGTCTGTGTGTGTGTGTGTGTCCTGTATTAAGCATTAAACCCCACTACCTCCGAGGGTAAGAAAGAGACAATCCACTTAGCTGGTAGTTGAGCTCTTTGCTAAATCCGAGCCCGGTCAGTCAGAAGATTAAACAGCACCCTGTCTTTCAGTGAACAACCATCAGCCTATAGTACACTGTACTTACAGCTGAGTCGCGCCAGCCTCCCCATGCCTGCTATTTGGGTCCCAATCCGATCACGTGATCAGAATTCGGGTCGGATACTGTGGTTTTCAGTTGATCGGGGCAAGAAGATTGTTTTCCTTCATTTTCTGAAGTTGTACAGGTCACACAGAAACTAAATAGTCAAAACTATCAATACCTTGTCAAATGGAGGAGTAATAGCTTAAGTTTACATGACACAATGTTAGTATTTTTGGGGAGGTAATAGTCGAAATGGTAGCAAAGCCACACAAACACGGGCACACACAGAGGCACATCTGTGTGTACACAGGGGTCTCCTCCGCGCTGCAGCAGTAAGAAATTGGAGCAACAAAGACAAAAAAAAAAAAACGATGTAAGGCAAAAGATACTTCTGAAATAGACTAATTCTGCCATCCCTGCTATAAAGCTGCCTCAATGAGCGGCATAAGAGTGGAGGGAGCAACAGGCAGGTTAGGAACTGCGACTCATCCAAACGATGAAACGTCAAATAGAAGTTTAACAAGTGTAAATCATTTGCGAGCTTGTTTGCCACTGTTGCATTTAACAAGGCCTTAAATCAATATTGTTGATTAGAGTTGAGAGAAGTCACGCACATGCCCACCAACTACGTAACTGTATGGACTCATCATTTTAGCCTGCACATGTCGATAGATAACCATTTAATTAAATACACGTTCAAACTGAGGAATCCTTCATTCTTCATTAATGTCCACACATATGAGGCCTACATTAAAATACATTTTACAAAAGCGTCCTGCACATGGATACGTATTGAGCTTGACGTTAACATACTTTGAGAGTGTATGCACATTATTTTATGGATTGCGAGGTATCAGATTGGGACTCGGTCTTGGCAGCTCCTTAAAAACCAAAGACTGACTCAAGTGCCAAAAAGTGTGATTTCTAATAATGTACTTGATGTATATTGTTGGTCCACTGTATAGTTCATTGCTAGTGTAATAGGAAGATGGGTAAGAGGAAGTTGGACAACGTTTACAGGTTTGCAGTATGAGTGCCATGTAATGCTTCATGCCATATTGAACTGGAGTTTGTGATTATTTCAAAGTTCCAAATTGTGTTTTGACAGATGTTTGTTGACAGGCACGCAGCACTACAAAACAACAGCAAAAAAAATGAAGGCAAACGCATCCAGATGTGTTGCTTTTCTCCTCAACTGACTTCATTGTGGAGACAATTTGTGTCTCGTCATGGGTTTCTGCAAGTCTGCTTTGTAAGCCTCTAGTTTCTTGCCGTAGTAGGTGACGGCAGGTGAAAGAAAATGTGAAAACCTTTTCTGGTTTGTAGTGTAAGTAAACTGAAATAAAGTTGATCTTCATTCTTCAGTTTTAAACTGTGTTTTATCAGATAAGAGATGTCAGGCACAAAGTCAAGTCAGGTTACCTGTTTACCCCTTAATCACATCGAAGTCTCCAAGGGTTTCACAAACCCACAATCGACAAATAGCCTACAAATTCTTAAAGGACTTGTTTAACCCAGCGCGGTGCAACATGTCACGCGCAAAACGGAGTCAATCACGACAGCGTCACTGTTTACCTTGGAGCTGAGCCGACAGAGACTCTTGGTGCTGCTGGTACTTCAGTGCCGTGGCTTGTGTCCTCTTCAGCTCCTTGTGCATCTCGTAGGACACCATGCCGGCGTACATCATTCCGCAGACCACGGTGACTAGCAGGAGAACCTGGAAAATCCTCCGTTGCCTCCGCGAGCACACCCCGTTTCCCATGTTGGACCCGCACCCGTCCCCGCCGCCTGAGCGAGTCACCTCCGTTTCTGCTGCTGGAAACTTTCCGAGTCGATTCGCAGCCTCACCCCTCACTCCTTTACTCCAGAAACATTTCCAAGCAGGCCAGGCGAGTTAACGTAAACATTACTTTCGCACGGGACACCTCGCAGCAGGCTTTTTCGCTTGCCTTCAAAGTGACCGCGCAGATTTTCACCAGATGATTCGGGGTTTGCCCAATGTAGCGAAACACTAAACTCACTCCTTCCTCTTTTTTGCAGAGTTGCTTTTTTTTTAATCCAATGCAGCCTCAAAAAGTTGTGCGAAAAAAGTTAGGTCCGAAATCGCCAAACAGGCCTGCATGGCACCTTTAACTTGAGTTTACGTGTCAACCCGGTAGATCCCTGCCATCCAACCGCAACTAAACAGGAAGTCCCGCCCCTCAACGAAAAAATACATACTCACGCCCCCCCTCCCTCCCCGAAAAAAATACCATCCACCTATTGGTGTAAAGGGATGTCAATTAAAAGAAACCCGTGAGAGAGTTGGATTAATTGAAAAAGACAGGTTCCGTATGCTGCGATCAGTGTTGTGTTTTGCAGACAATGTTCTTGAGTTTTATTTTACTTTTTTTTTTTTTAAATGAAATCTTGAAGAAAATGATGAACTATAAAAAGTTCGCACTACAATGTCAAATAGGTAAAGTGTTGAAAATAGAAACGGACAGGAGGAGGCCTTGCCAATTGTGTTTTAAAATAACGGCCATTCAGGCCAAACGTGCTGGAGCCTATCCCAGCTGTTTTCAGGCAGTACGAGGGGTACACCCTAAAGTGAATACCAGTCAATCGCATTGTGCATACAGACAAACAACCATTAGACAAACAATTATAAACCATTACTTATGACAAAGTGTGCATTTGTGTTTAAAAGCACACGTAGACCTATTTGATTAGCACAATTTGTCTTTATATTCCACATGAAGTATGTTCAAGAAGTTGCCTGTCAATTCCAATTTAAGTCAGAAAGTGTCACGTAGCAGATACTCTGCGCTTGTTGCAGTGCCACTGGTCTAAACGATACCTGGGGGAATACTGCCATCCAATGGTCTCCTGCATACATGTTTTACCAAATACAACAAATGTCAGGGACGATTTGAAGCCTTCCTAACCTGTCCCCCCACTTTTCAGTTTGACTATTTACTGTGAAACGGTCAACTGTTTTGTATAAATGCCAGTGGAAAACTGGTTCTCTCATTAAGGTTTTTTTTCTCTTCACTGTGAAATGACCCATGACTTAAGGCTCAAAGCTGTCATACATACATCCCCTCCAAAAGTATTGGAACGGCAAGATCAATTCTTTTGTTTTTGTTGTTTCCTGAAGACATATGGTTTTCTGATCACAAGATGAATGTCACACAAAGCTCAGAATTCCAGCTTTTATTTGATGGTATTTACGCTCAGACGAGTCAAACAACTCAGGTCAGCTCACCTTTGGTTGAAGCCAGCCACTTTCCGAATGAGCTCATGTATTGAAACATACGTTATTAAATGAACTTAATGGCAATAAGCCTAGTCCCTGATGGTGTAGTGGTACACTTGCCTGACATGTGTGCGGGCAGCGTGGGATTGGTTCTCACTTGGTGACAGTATAGATGTGGGAGTGAATGATTGTTTGTCTCTATATGTGCCCTGCGACTGATCAATCTATTACAAAAACCTGCCATTTGAACAGGGGTGTGGAGACTTTTTGTATGCATTGCAAGTACAGTAACTGAATCAGCACTTCTACTTTTAATAGTCTTTTGTTTTCCACAAATATACTGTTCTGCCAGTTGGTTTGTTTCTGTGACTTTCAGTCGTCCTTGAAGTCAGCATCCAAGCCTGTCAACCATCCGTCCACCTGTTGCGGGCTGCACCCTTTTTCACCGCACGATGGCGCGCTTTCCAATAATAGCCGGTGGAGATGGAATGGGCTTCAGACTGTGGGGGGAACTTGAAGCTTGTACGAAGGGCTCGTCCGGATGAAAACATGTCTTGTTATGTGTTGCATATCTTGCATGGGAGCCGCTGGGCTGACATGAACTGCTAATTCTTCCGCGGGCTGCGTGTTCTTCCGCAGGTAAGCGGCACGACGCTGTGGGGGTTCGGAAAGGGCGAATCAGGTTGTCATGTTGCTCAGCTTGCTGACATTCGAGACGCGGTGGCAATTGGCGTGAACGTCGCCGTCGTTCCTTGATTTCGGGAAAGTTGGCTGCATGCAGAGGTATCGGTTGGGCAAGGACAGCGACGTAGGATACAATTGTAAGCATTCGTATATAGTCAAGGGGCCATGAGAGTAACTTGTTATTAAAACGACGGCATACTGTTGTACTCCACCTGCTTTGCCTCCATCCAGTCGTCGCCCTCTCGGCGCCTAAATCCAATGGAATGTGTTTGGAGTTTAGAGGCCAGTTCAGTCGCATTACTCACATTTTTCAGCCCCCCCCTCGTTCATGATGAGGACTGACAGTGTGAAACCAGAAAGGAATCGAGGGGGACACTTTTCAAGGTCAAAGACTTGTGAGATTGTAGAACCAATGGTGTATTGTGTTAATATTCTATTCGTTTATTCATAGTGTACACCCATCTTGACTTTGAAAGTTTCTTTGTTTTGTTCCCGTTCTATCTCATCTAGTTAATGTTAGTTGTTTCATTCACTTGTTCATGTGCACACATCATCACTTTATTAGATACACCAGCACAATCTAATAAGAGGCAATCCAAGTGCCGTATCCATAAATGTTGATATTCAGTTGAGTGGAGTATTGGCCCAACTAATGCCAGTGGTAGATTTCTTTCTATTATCAAGTTCAGGAGCCCAATTCTGATTTAATGCCTATACTGTAATCCAATTTTCTATTAAATTGTCTATTTACATCCACCATGGCTTTGTTTGCATTCATGGAACAACCTGCGGATGCCCAAATTGCATGAAGTAACTCTACGAATGACAAACGTAGGCAGTGACAGCAGAGACGTAAACAATAATGCATAAATACATACTTAACATTACATGACATTTACAGTTTTTGACCCGGACAGAGCCTTCCTCCCATTAATGTAGACAACGGTAACCCCCACGCCATTACTGTACTTCTTTGGCCATTCTTTGTAATTATTTTTATTATTTAATGATTAACACACAAAACGCAACATATTTAGATGATATTAAATGGGCGATGCTTACTCTGTAGTTTAGATTTAAATCAAGTGTTTCATATGTGTTTATTTGAGTTGTTTGGACAAATGTGGCCACTTGGGCCCATATATGTCAGCAATCAGTGTATTTCAATGATGTCAAGTTTTCATTGACAAGGATACATCCAATCTGTCTGATTACGCTGCACTCGCATTGGCATATGAAGATCCTAGAGTACTAATTGTAGGCTTTTGGTTTGCCCGTCAGAAAAAAATAAACTGCCATGATTCAGTTTAATTTGAAACTTTGCCAACTGTTTTATTTTTGTTCAGTGATAATCCAATCAATGTTGGGTGCACTTGGAGCGCATGTGGTCACAAAGATAAATCCCAGAAGGGTACAAATTGTTAGAATAAAAATAGGTCTTTCTTGTCCTAGGGAGGGAAAGACAACTATTCCCCAATTTATTTCCCTTATGCTCGGTCTAGTTTTAATGAGGCTATTTTCTGCCGCTCTTGTAAGCGTATAATTCACAACTATTCGCAGCCGCATAAATAATGGAGAACTTTCCCTTTTGTCCCAAGTCACACACAGCCAGACTCCTATCGGGCGGTCTTGAAGGCAGACTTTTGGTGACTTTTTGCATATATCCATTCTTGTAATCCACTGCATAAATTAGCCCAGTTTTAGCGCCAGGCCCTGCACATATTATTCACCTGACAATGTGTATTTTGAAACACGTGTTCAGCATGGACAAATTATGTATGTTTTGATTACAAATGTGCTAAACATGCATGTTCGTGTATTTATGTGCCTCGATTTACGTCAGTTGTTACTTAATACACCCCACCTTTGCGGAGTCATCAGAGAATTTTTGCAGGTGGATAAAGATAACATCAAAATAGGATACAATTGATAAAGGAGGATAATCTTGATCCAGAATCCTGGTATTGTTTGGTCCTGGTGGGTGATTGTGACCTACTGAGAGCCGTTCTAATCCAAATATGCGAGCTGCTCAGCTCAGATGGCCATGTGATTCTGTACTAATAACCTGAAGTGTGGTCCACTTGACTGCAGTTCACTAAAATTGCTTGAAATTTGAATTTGTAGGATTGTCGTACAGACAGTGCAAACTAATGTCGTATTCACCCATCTATGAGACAAAGGAATATCTAAACTTGTGTGCAAATATAATTTGGCAAACTGACTTTTGTCTTTATGCCACTGCCGTGTTGTATTGGACAGCTTATTTCATACGGTGAATTCTATTAGAAAAGCACGCTTATGGAGAAGATTGCATGAGCAGCAAAGGAAGCGGCTCTGTAACAGATTCACTTTTTTATTAACCAAGGGCGGATGCATGTTTCTCTCTTTGGCCTCCAACTTTCCAATAATCAACAACACGCGCTATAATGTTTGACTTCAGGTGTCCATACTTGAGCGTGTACAGTGTGAAACAACAATGACATGGGGAAGGCTAGGAAGGCCAGAGCCCGGATTTGAACCCACAACCTCTTGTCAGCCAATCGGCTAGCGTGCTGCCAACATTTCCATCTCATGTGCAATTTTTTTATAAAGGGATTATAGCGGAGAAAAATGAATCTTACTCGTTCCAGATGTATACATAGATGTTGTGGCGACTTGTTCAGTTCCTGCTCAGTGACGTCATGAATTTGAGTGTCAATGGTTGTCTGTCTTGACACGTGCCCTGCAATTGAGACCTAGAAAAGGATGAGCTGTGTAGAAACTGATGTGAAGAGAAGTTTCAACATGGTTGGAGTACCGCTAGTTAATCAGGTTCTTCCTAGATCCCACCCCTCCAAAATGTTTTATGAATAGCTTCAGAGAGGTATGCATAAAATATGTTCATTGAAATGTTGATCATTTATTTTGCTTGTAGTTTCCAGTGGCACAAAAGTGCCCTGCCTGCACTCTGAGCTATTTCTAATCTACAGTAAAAAGAAAAAAAAAATCATGTTAAGCTGTTACACACAATTGCATGTTGCAGCTCTACACAACCCCTCTCTGACCTTGGCAAGTGAGCCGTTTCAGGCAATAGGTTGTGAAGTACACTTCTTACATTCCATCATGTCCACCCAGAGATTGAACGTGCCACGGATACTACCGGATGTTCACTGTCATCTTTGTTTTGTAAATGCGATATAAATTGTCCAAAATAATAATGATGTGTTCACCTAACGTCATCCTTAAAGTATTTTTGTATGTGTGGGAGACGTCTCACAGGCAATGCAGGTGCAAATTTCACAGTTGGACGGGGCTGAATGAAACAGTGAGACGTGCAGACACGGGGTGGCGAAGGAGGGAGGGCTCTGTCTTTTAGGCGCTACAAAAGAGCCAGTGTTCTCCCTCGAGCAGTGTGCCGAGTGAAGACAGTAGGAAAGCCAGTGGGCCACATGAACAGAAAGAGAGCAAGAGAGCCTTACGTCGAATTGCCCTCGCATACCCCCCTCACTCTCACAGGGTCCCCCAGCATTCACCACCCATCACACTCACCCTCCACCCCGCCTCACCTAAGGCCCCATTCATTGCTCGTCAGTTTAATACAATATTCATTTGACTGCAAGATGTCGATTGCATAGCTCCAGTGCTTAAACATGACCCAGTGTAAAAAAAAAACAACAACAAAGATGATCAAGTTATTTGTGAACTGTTAAGGTATCCAAAGGTGATTGTCCCACTGGAATTTTTGTGTGTTTAAAGGTTGCATTCCTGCGCTCGCTCAGCTGGAGCCGGGCGATTAGTAGTTCCAGGAGGATAGTTTAAATAGTTTCAAAATGCACATTCTTCCGCTTAAGTTGATTTTGAATCACAAAAATAAAAATGTAGCCGTGACCACAATGAAGACAAGCGAGATAAAAAAAAAAGGATGGTTTGAGAAAATACTGTCTGGACAAATATGATACACTTTTTTTTTCTAGAAACAATAACATACATTTGATGATATTTTTTTCTAATTTCCTCGTACTAAGAATATAATTACACAAGCAATGATTTTGCAAGGAAATGCGGTTTTCTGAACACTCTAAGTTGTCCCTAGGAGTGATTGTGAGCGTGAATGGTTGGTCGTCTCTATGTGTGCCCTGCGATTGGCAGGCAACCAGTTCAGGGTTAACCCTGCCAACTGCCCGAAGAAATCTAGGATAGGCTCCAGCACGCCCCGCGACCCTCGTGAGGATAAAGCGGATCGGAAAATGGATGGATGGATGGATGGATGGATGGATGGCTTGATACAGTTTTCTTACTTTGTTTACGTTTGAACTTGGAAACCCAGTAAACTATGAACACATTCATTCATGCAGAAACTGGTTTTAAGGGTTGTGTTACATAATGTTCACTATTTCGCATAACTCATCGCACCATACATGCGTACTATATTGCACTGCCAATAAACCATGTATCTTCCAGTGATCTCCCTCGCATCTGCTTTCATGACTGTTTTGGTCTCACTGAGCTGACAGACCAGCAAGGATTCCTGATGTGGGTACCGAGGAAACACGGGCAGGGTTCCATCGCCAAATTCCAGCAGAAAGCGATCCAAAGTGTTCTTCTTTGTGCCTTTCTTTGGTCTTTCATCAGTTGGACGAGATGAGAGATAGTTTTGCCTGGAGAGGGAAGGGAACCAAGTGCAGATTGCTGGCTGTGGCACAGATACATATGCTTATAGCTGAGGAGTTGAGCTCAAAGCAAACTCATTCATGATCACAAATAAAAGGCACACTGGGGTTGCTTCTTTTAAGAAAAACTTCAAGTGCGTGAGAGCGCGATTCCGTCTCGACATTAGAAGACTCTGCAAAATGTAGTCTGTTTAGGACACACGCTGAGGAGATTGTGTTGCCGTTGGCATGTTGTTTGTTCTCACATATTGCCTCGATAGTTGGTTCGGGGATGTACATTTTTTTTCTCAATATTTTTTTTTCATTTTAAACGCAGTGGAAATGCATTTTGGAAGTTGAATAGCTTTCGAGTGGAGTGTTTTTTTTTTTTTAATGTTTTTTTTTTTCTTACCCTAGTGCATAGCAAGGGTCCGCAGGACAACATGCGGATCTAACTGGGGGGGTTGTCTTGTGGTTCTGACATAAATGAAAATGCCAAAGCCTTAAGTGACTATCTGTGGCTTTGTAGCATATTGGAGAAATGTATCTGTAGACGTATCAGTGATGAAGGATTGGAGAAAGTGACAGCCAAGGAGTGTTTCCCCCCCATATTTGGTCCTTAGGATACAAGACAACTTTGGCAAATGTTATGATAATGATTGCCCACAAGAAAACATACAAACTTGACGTCTCGGCATTTTGCAGCTAGTGATTGTTTCCTCCCTGTCTCTATCAGGACTCTGTTGTGACACGCCGACATCCTCTGGAATATGCTTTGTCTCCATGGTAACAGGCCGCATGCAGACCCAGAAAAATATCAAGCCAAGTTGATCCTTTTTCCAACATACCTGATCCTGGACACAAGGGATGAAAATTGGAATAGAAACAACGAAATATCCCCGAGGTTTCCACTACCCTGAATAATGGCAAAAAAACAACTGTGATTTTTTATTTTATTTTTTTTTAAGGTACCTGTACTTTATTGCCTTTTCTCTTGGGATCATGCTGTGGAACTGCTTGAATTCTCCCCTGAATCCAAGAGTTAATAAAAGCTGCATATTGGAATTTCATCAGATTTGAATCATCTCTCAACAATTACAGTATGTTGGGGATATACTCATTCCATATTAGGCGCTTTTAAACCTTTGCTGACCAACTGGTCATACAGTCATTCTCTACAAGGACCAGGATGCACCAGCTCTTCAGTCAGGTGCTGGGCCAGAGGGATTTATCCAGAGCAGGAGATCTGTTTTCTCTGGAGGATGCTGCGATCGAAGACTGCTTGTCACAGGCTCTGGACCAGATCAAGTCCATCTCTTGCTCACCGGTTAGTAGGCATGCCAAAAAGTAGCTCTGTATATTAAATGGACATTTAACAGTCCGCTAGGATTCATAAACTTCGACGGAGTCTACACTTTAAAACTGAATTCGCACATGGCTGTAAAATTGGAAATATAACCAAACATTTCTGGGAAATTCAAAATCCATTGATGGGGCAAAAAAAAAAAAAAAGTAATTTGATGGTAACGTGACATGTTGGATATCTTAAATCCAAAGCTCTCCTCATCGTGACTTTATCAGCCTCTTCTGTCATTAATATTTCTGTCTTCACGAGTCAATTTAAATACATGTGTCTGATACAGGATTATTTGACCAACGACAATGACCAGGCAGTGGTAGAGATTTGTATCACGCGTATCACCAGCGCCATCAGAGAGACCGGCTCCATCGAGAGGCACAGCACGGCCCTGGTGGGGCTGTGGGAGTCGTGTCTGGAACATAACCTCACGCCTCAAGGTGACAACACCGAGGACACGCCGCACACCAAGATAGCCTCCGACATTACCAGCTGCATCCTGCAGGTACGCACGCGCACACACACACACACACACACACGCACGCACACACACACACACACACACACACACACACACACACACACACACACACACACACACATCTTTCAACAGTAAATCACACAGCTATACAAACATGAACTTGCCCGCTTAAATATGCAGTGTGTATTGCCTTGCTCCCTCAACTAAATTTGTCATGGTGAGTATTAGCGTTTTCTTGCTGACAGTGTGAAATGACATGATTTCATCAGTAAATTATCTGAAATTAATCTTACATCATACTTTGCTACACAGGTATGCTACGCGGTAAATTTTTGGGAGTACATTTTATTCTAAAAAGACTATATTTGGTCCCAGTCTAGACAGAGTAAAATTTGAGAGTAAAATATCCAACATTAATTTTTACACAAAAAAAAAATATTTTGAGCGAAGTTTACTTGAAAAGAAAAAAAAAGAAAATATCCAGCATTCATTTTTTTCAGTCAAGTAAAATGTACTCTACGAAAATTACTGTGTACTTAGCAGGAAAACTGCAATAGTAACACTGTCCAGATGTGCTACTCAATTTGGGATTTCCTCCAACTGCATTATTTTAAAGTAAAGGTGTCAAACTCCTTTTTGTCGCGGGCCATATTGTAATTACCGTTTCCCTTGGAGGGCCGTTCTGACTGTGAAACCATATGAAGAAGTCAAGAATAATGGTTTCTTCAACTATTGTTTCAATTACTCTACTTTTGGTAACAAGAACATGCCTAGAGTATCACTGTTATTTAATACATTTGAAGATTTGAAATTTTGGTACAGATTTTAGCAAGGATCAAGGAAGTTGACACGTTTGATTTTCTTTCGCGGGACACATAGATTGATGTAGCGGGCCAGATCTGGCCCCCGGGCCTTGAATTTGACACCTGTGCTTTAAAGGACACAAACCAACAACAGGTATTTAAATATTCAATATAAAACCTCACAACTGGGCCTGTGCATTCCCACACCAGATCTCGACAACTACATGATGTCAAGTCAGTCACATTCTCCTCTGTTCTTCCTCCTCATATTCGCTGTTGGAATAGGAATGTCCTTAATAGCCTTGTAATGAGGCGGTGTCTTAAGGACTTACGCACATGCACACGCGTGCGCGCGCACACACTTACACACACACACACACAC